CATACTTAAAAGTAAACAGCATTAAAATTTACATTTTTATATATCATTATTCATAAATCAATGTAAATTTATAAATCAATGTGTATCCGTTATTTCAAATAAATGTACAAATAGTTGTTGATAAGACTTTAAATACACAGTAATTTAAAGATAACTAAAATATAAGATGTTACTACATATCGCTTACATACTTTTTCTTTTTAAAATGCGCATTGTGCTCTCATTATTGATATACACTGCACATGTGTAAGTAGAAAGTGTTCCATTTTAATGGGATTTTAGTTGTTTTGTATAAGGTATTCCAGATATACTGTATCATGAGCAAATACTTGCATTATATTTTCAGTGCCACAAAATGTGACTCAAGTGTTCCATGGATACAGAACAGACGGTGCATCAGAGATGAGGGACATCAGAACGGTAGAGCAATGTGTTAATGGATGTATACAGAGTCCCACCTGTTTCGCTGCGGACTGGAATATAGAGTGGAAAGGGTGCTGGTTTCATGGAAGTGGTTCATTTTGCAGTAGGCCAATACAAGACTCTACTGTTGATCATTATAAAATCAAAACATGTAGCAGTTCAGGTAAGGTGATATATTGGGTATATTCAATATGCCAGTGTAGCCATACACATACATTTAATAATTAATTTTATACATTTATTATATAACGAAGACGTAACGAAGACTTAAAACTTAAAATATTGATATTTGTAACAAATATAGGTCTATATTGTAAATGATAAATACGTGTACTCTTGGTTACAAATTCTATTAATTCTGAAGATCATTATAAAATCAAAACATGTAGCAGTTCAGGTAAGATAATATCATGGGTATATTCAACATGCCAGTATATCCATACATGTACCTTAAAAGTACTTTTATTATATAACGAAGACTTAAAACTTAAAATATTGATATTTGTAACAAATAAATATCGTAAATGATAAATGCATGTACATGTACTCTTGGTTAAAAACCCTGATTTTGAAGATTTCTACACAATGTCCAAATGTTTTTGAACTTTTGTCAGTTAATTCATTATTTTATATATTTATTATTTTTCTTTTGTAAACATATGCAGTTTCTTCTTCTATGAAATAATTTTTTGAAATCATGGTTTTATTAACCACAATATTAATCACTGGTAATGATGTTGCTTTCCTTTATATTGCAGGATGGGAATGCAGTACACAGTGTAGTTATGGTTGTTGTCGGCAAGGGCATTTACAAAATCAGCAATCATGTTGCTACAACCGTGAGTAGTTTTTAGGTCGTAAGTTTTTTTAGAATATCATTTAGTGGAGATTATTAAGCTGTGTTTGTAACAATATTCCAAATTATGTTAACATTGTAGGGGCTCTACTATTTTTCGAGCTGAGTCATGTTTATCATTATTATTGTATCAAATATTATTATCTTTATGTCCCCATATTATATTGCAAGAATTCAAAGACGACTTTTCGGAATATACATGTACCTGAATATACAACGTTTCTATACTTACAGCTGAAACATGCCCTGACCCTGGAAGAGGAGAAAATGTAACGTCTCATGCATCATCTGGACCTTACAACATTGGGGAGGTAAAACAATACACGTGTAGTCGGGGACACTTTCTCGAAAATAATTCCACATCAAAGGCGTTGCTTTGTCAAATCAACGGTACATGGAATGATACTACTGCCCAGTGTAAACCCGGTCATTGTACACCACCAGATGTCGGCAACAACGCAACGTCATCTAAAGTTCCGCCATACCACGTGCACCAACACGTGGACTTTGAATGCCCCATCGGTCAAGTGTTCCCTGATCGTACTTCCGTAAAGATGGTCACCTGTACCACGAATCTAACATTTAACGCATCGATCCCAAATTGCTCACGTGTGGAGTGTCAGCTGCCGATGAACTTGACACATTTGACGCCACGAGAAAGTGGACCGCATCTCTTTGAAGACCACTTGCATTTAGATTGTGATACCGGGTACGTCCTACCCGTTTCTAACCAAACATCTATCAGTTTAGTTTGCATGGAAAATGGACAGTTCAACCAAACTATGTTACGTGCATGTGAACCAAGGGCTTGCCCTTTACCTACTCATGACCAAAACCTCACAATGAATGGGTCAGCAAGTTTAAGGTATCCAGACTCTAAATCGTACCATTGTCCTAAGGGATATTTATTTCCTGGTAAGCAAGACGTGATAACTGTTGAGTGTCAAGCCGATGGAACTCCAAGTAAAAACAGCTTACCAAGTTGTTCACCTGTGTTCTGCAACGATTTAAGATCTTTGCTAAGTAACCTCAGCGTATCACCAACAAGACCGTACCTATACGGAGGCAAAATCAATGTGACATGTCCAGATGGTTTTCATATGGGCACTGATACACGTTACGTCACGCTGAGCTGTGGACGTGACGGCACATGGGGACATATACCTGAGTGCTTTGAAAACGCGGACAGTGTGACTGGACATCTCGGTGGTAAATCGCTTGTTTGATTTGCAAAACCATTCCTAGGATAAGAACATATCCTTTACAATAAATAAATAAAAATTCATGTAACAGCACAGTTTCGGTTTCAATAATTTAATACCTTAAGCTGCAAATAAACAAAAGAGACATGAAATGCACGATAAGCACACTTGTAAACATGTTTGTAATGCCGTAATGTCTCTTTAAAATTGCTAAAATATATGGGCATTCAAACTCTGTTCGTGTCTTAATCCATGCAGCCATTAAAGAGAGTCGATCCATAATAAAGGTACACCCCTGATAAAAGTAAATCTAGTACAAAGCATACAAACATGTTTTCAGTATGTATAACCATGTTTCTCAGATGTTTAGAAGTCATCATTATCTTCCACTTTTCAGGAAACATTGCAGCAATGTCAGCAGGTGGTGGCACAGCAGCGGTTGTGGTAATCCTGGTAGTTGTAGGGTTTGGCCTAATATACTGGAGACGAAGGTACTATTAACAAAAAAAGCGCAGTAAACGTGAATGTGTCCTCCTTAAAGCAGCAGCCTGAAGGCTAAATAAAAGATTATTCTATCACTGACGTAAAAAACATGTAAAATATTTGAAATGCTGAAAAATGAAATGTCGAGGCCAACGTACGATTTAATTCAAAGAGATCTCACCCTCCACCTCTCAAAATTTTCGATAGGATTAATAGGTCTTTTTGGTAATTAATTTTGCCTCTCACTGTATACGTGTAACTATACAACATTTTACTTTCAGAAATAAGGAGAAAAACAGTTCTGCGCATGACCAACCAAGTAACCTATCAGCTTCCCGGGAACTAAGCCATGTTTACAATAACATCCAGGATGTGTCAGACAATCTCTCTTCCACTACCTGTTCAAATGCATCAGGGGATGTAAATCCCCACAAGGAGAAAGAAAAATCAGAAAATGTTATAGATGAACTGTACACCGTGCCAGAAAGGAGGAATAATACCAGAGCACGAGCCGATCCAAATACAGGGGGCGACAGTGTGCAAACCCCCAGCGATAATTACACTGCGCTAGAGATGAAAAACAAAACAGCACAATCGACCGCAATAAAAGGTACAGGTGAAGCTGGCCCTAATTACTACGAATCACTGACGAATATCAGAGAGATGCCAGGGGACCTGTATGATCATCTTCGTGACGTTGGACCAACTTACGTCAACGATGTGTGAGTTATCTCTCAGATGACGTTATTTTTACAGAGAAAAAGCATCTGTGGCTACTGCCTTTATCATGAAGATTCACGGAGAAAATTCTATTTTAACTTGATCATGAGGGGAGAACTGTGTCGCTGGAAATCCGAATAATAATTCTCTAAATTATAAACAAATTAACATGGGGAATATCCGGAAAAGAAAGCGCAACGACAGTCGAAATTGACTTATTTAACTGGAGGCAAGATTTTTATCTCGTGAAAAAAAATTAAGAAAAACATCCCCATTTTCGCTTGCCGTGGATGCTGGTGCTAGGAGGCGTCTACAATATACACGTTATATTTATATGCCCTTTGTTATACCTCAGCAATATAATTTTATGGTAGAGCTGTTAACTAGCTATGTTTTTTATTTGACTCCCCGGTTTACACTCGAAAAATGACGTAGGGAGTGAATAACGCACAGCTAGGACAAACGGCTACATTTACATATACATGTATATAGCTGAACAGCGAATTATTTAATTATTATGATTCGTAACATTACAGTAGTGGGGTGCACCGCATATAGTGCTGTAGATAACGTCATTTATTTACTGTGTAAACTAACTTATCACGTGGAAAATAAGAAGTGTTGTTTAGCCAGTTTATTGCTCTCTAATAAATTTGGCAAATGTTCAAATAAAATTAGTTGGTTGACAAGAAAGCAGAACGACAATACAGACACCTGCTTCATTATACCAGTGTTCACGCATTTTCGTATTTGGCACCAGTAAAGAAATAAGAATTAATCACAGAATTTGTTACAACTGTCATGACCAAAAACGTTATAAAACGTTCTGTGTTTGTCGGGATGCTAGTGTAGCTGTCAACTTGTATCTACTTTGAGAAACAGTACAAATTACATTTTAATTTTCAGACTCTCGACCTACATGTAATAGAATATTAACTTTAATACAAACAGTAAAGCTGATAAGTGACCTCGATTTTTTATCTGGAGATAAGTAACAAAGCAACCTGCGCCTGGGGTGCACGCTGTGTTACGCTTAAGAAGGCGCGCTGTTATCTCCTTTTCTTGAAATGCCGATTTCAGCAGTGAATGATAAAAAATACATATTAGACGACTGTGATTTGCAAAACGGGCATCTCTTTTAGCGGCGTTATTTTATGTGCAAAAGAAAAAAATGAAAGAAAACTTCAAACAAACAGAAGTATGTGGCTCATTCAAGTGTGCATAACGCGTTATCGTATTTCGTTTTTACTTCCCGGTTCACAGCTAAGTAGAAACTGGTAACTTTGAATTGCCTATTTACGAAATAATCAAACAAGATGGCGGTCTCTCTCACTAGCTCAAATTGTGCAGAAGTGAGAAATGTCGGTATTCTCATCATGCTGATTTGGGTCATCAAGATCAGTATAGTCAAAGGTGAGTTAAAATGAATGGTCTGGTGCATGTAAATTGTGTGGTATGAAAAGCGTTCACCGCAGAATGGGGATATATCGGTAGGCAAAGTAATAAAGCAAAGACGACTAAAAAGATTAACCCTCTTTGCAGATACCTGTGTATTTCAGTTATGTAGGTTACTGTGACCCTTTCACATCAATGGGTACAGTTTTCTGTATCACAACAGTTTCACTACAACTTACAGGTAACTACGCTACGGGATGGGGGAAGCTACCTTTCACAAGCCTCAGTGTACTGTTAATTAGTTTAAGTGGCTGTGCCGATCGAGCGCTGGGGCAGGTTGTCAATCTCCCAAACTGGTGTGATACAGAAAACTGTACCACTCAATATGAAAAGGGCTTGTGTGTAATGACAGGTTGGTATATAAGTATATAATGTGTGTGTTGGAGGGCGGGCGGCAGTCGGAGTGTTCATCCTTCACAGAAGACTGCTGGTCACGATTTGCCTCTAAAGAAACTAGCAAGGACTATAAAACCTGCCGTCGCGACACAGGAGTAATTCATTGTACAGTTATTGTTGACAGTGTGGTATGACTGTCACAGCCACCTTGTACATATCGACATGTGGACGTGAATGTCATGTCGATAGATTAAATATCAAAGTCAACAACGAAGTCATGTGCAAGCAAGAATGCATTATTATGACAAACAATGTACTCTCTTGAACTCTGTCAAGGAATTTCAGTGTAAGTTTTGTTTTATCCTCAGTTGAACAAAGTTCAGGTGTTCTCGATAGTGTTGTGCCTTGGCCTTTTTGTTTACTATAAATCTTTTTATCCTGTCTGTTCACACACCCTTCTAAGCCAAGGTCACAAGCAGGACATATAAATAAATTTCAGGGTCATGCTATTTAATCAAAATACATTTGTCGTGTGCATATCGCAGAATAAAGAACTTAAATTATTTACTCTTGACTATGTAATTATACCAACGTTATGGCTTCTTTAGGTAATTTAGAAACGGCATTTAAATAAATGTATATGATGTTCAATGAAAAGAGCCATATGCATATTGTCTCAATGCCTCAGGCATCAAAATATGCCAGGGTTCTGTTAGTGGGCATCTGCAAAATGAAACTGAAGTACAACTTGGAAAGTGCTTTAAAGTACTGATAAAAACAATTTTAATGTGAAAAACGATTTAAAATCGTGTAAATTATACTTTAAAGTGCTGATTACATGTATGGGTGTATTAACTTTTTTCTTTAGGTATATGCATCGAACCCGACGTCGATGCTCTACCAAGGGAAAGCGACTGCCTTCGACCTTTGATGAAAATGAGACTGTGTGGAACAAGGACGCCAACCGTTTGCGGCAGTAAATGTTTTTCGACTTAAGAAGAATTTATTGATTTGTCTTTTTTTTGTATATGGGTCTCTTTTTAACGAGATTTACACTTAGTCCCTTTAAGTAAACCTCGGAAGTGAACATTTGCAATGCCCGTAGTGGCGAAATTTATTCATTTTAAAATGCTGCTGTATGAATTTAGATCACATTGGACCATGATGATATCCTTCATTACAAGGCAAATGGGAAATATTTGCCATTGATATTATAATAATATTGGAGGCCTACTTTGTAGTTTTTCTTTTTGTTCACAGAATTATGCTTTTAACTTTGGTATTGCAAAGGTGTGACAAATGAAAAGTATTTCGTTTTATTGGAATTGGTTTCTTTATATAATCTTGGTAATTTACATGTAATATGTTAAAAACTTATTTTCAGTGCCAAAAAACGTGACTCAAGTGTTCCATGAATACGGTGCACAGGGTGCATCAAAGATGACAGAACTCAGAACGGTAGAACAATGTGTTCATGGGTGTGTAACCAACTCTTCCTGTTATGCTGTAGACTGGAATACTAGATACAAAGAGTGCTGGTTTCACGAAATTGGCACATTCTGCAATACACGCAATCACGACCCATCTGACGTTGATCATTATAAAATGCAAAAGTGTAGTTCAGGTAAGCTGGATATATAGGGTGTTTTTAGCACTGTCAGGTTGCTTAATTAAGTGTTACAGTCACAGTACATGAATTTGTCCAAAGTTACAGAGACCATCATTCAGACAAAAACACAGAATTAATTTACTTTTGATAAATTATTTAAAAATCAATCTTATCCAAATGTCAATGCAAGCCATCCCGTGCATTAATTAGATAAAAACGAAGCTTCCTTATTTGATACGTTATTTAAATATTTTAATAATGTTTAACCGGGTCAAAATGGCATATATGCGTAAAAACAAATCCGTCAATGAGTTATTTTTGCAAAATGCAAGACCTTGCAGCAAATGATAGTCCACACGAAATATTCTTTCATTCACCTAATCCATTAGGCCTCTATGTTGATTTCGTTATAGAAGGATGGGAGTGCAGTAAACAGTGTGGCAATGGCTGTTGTCAGTTGAGTCCAGTCGTTCCCCACCAATCATGCATTTGTCATATAGGTTATACAGGAAGTACTTGCACTAGCCGTAAGTCTCGTTTGATAAGTTTTTTGTCACCGGCAATGATTTGGTTGCCTTTTTTAATATTCATAAACATTTCAACCCTGCGGAGCTTACCTATGAACTTGTATCTGTATTTCGTATTTAACTTAATTTCCATAGGCATGTTTAACAAAACATTGAATGTAGTTGATAACACGTGGAAACTATCATGATACAAATATTGTATGTAATGCACTGTATTTGCATTCTGTGGATTGCAGAATAGATACCGATAGTTAAGTAATGTGTAAAATGAAGCATGCGAAGTATATTATCACACAGAGAATTATACTTCAAGATTCTTATTCTTGCAGTTACGACATGCCCTGATCCTGGGAGTGGGGTAAATACAACGGTACATTTACCATCCCAGGCTTACAACATTGGGGATGTAAAACAATACACATGTATCCAGGGACATTTTCTCGAGAACTTTTCCACATCAAGGGCAATACTTTGTCAAATCAACGGAACATGGAATGATACTACTGCCCAGTGTAAACCCGGTCATTGTACGCCGCCAGATGTCAGCAACAACGCAACGTCATCTAAAGTTCCGCCATACCACGTGCACCAACACGTGGACTTTGAATGTCCCATCGGTCACGTGTTCCCTGATGGCACTTCCGTAAAGATAGTCACCTGTACAACAAATCTAACATATAACGCATCCATCCCAAATTGCTCACGTGTGCAGTGTCAACTGCCGCAAAACTTGACACATATGAAACAAAGAGAAAGTGGGCCGCATCATTTCGAAGACAAGGTGCATTTAGATTGTGATACCGGGTACGTGCTACCTGTCACTAACTTAACATCTGTCAGTTTAGTTTGCATGGAAAATGGCAACTTTAACCAAACTATGTTACCTGCATGTGAACCAAGGTCTTGTCCTTTACCAACTCATAACGAAAGCATCACAGTGAACGGGTCAGCAAGTTTCAGGTATCCAGACTCTAAATCGTACCGCTGTCCTAAGGGACATTTATTTCCTGGTAAGCAAGACGTAATAACTGTTAAATGTCAAGCCGATGAAACACTGAGTAGGGGCAGTGTACCGAGTTGTTCACCTGTTGAGTGCACAGATATGGGACCTTCGACGAGCAACCTGAGCGTGTCACCAACAGGTCCATACCTATACGGAAGTGTAGTCAATGTGACATGTCCAAGTGGCTATAATATGGGCACTGATACACGTTACGTCTTGCTGAGTTGTGGAAGTGATGGCACATGGGGACGTACATTACCTGTGTGTTTTAAAACCAGTGAACAAACCGCGGACAGAATGACCGGACAACCGGGTGGGTAACCGTTGCTTTATAACCTTGTGAAACAGCATGTGAATGTACTCTAGCTGCAAAATAAAATACTGCCCTAATTTTAATGCAGAAGTGAAGATTTCCGTTGTAATGTTTGACAAAAAGCTTAAAATAGAAGGAAGGATAATAAATACATGATAAGCGCTCCCAATGGGGTTAATGTCTCACGAATCAAAGATCACGCTAGCTGCATGTACAGGTAAATTCAATTTATCATTAAATCCGTTCGAAAAGGAAACAGAAAGATAACACAAACTCTTCTGTTTCCAAAATAAAATTATGTTGATCAGATATTTAGAATTCATCATTATCTTCCACTTTTCAGAAAACATTGCGGCAATATCAGCAGGTGGTGGCACAGCGGCGGTTGTCATCCTGGTGGTGGTAGTATTTGGCTTTATATACTGGAGGCGAAGGTACAGTGTACTTTTAATAAAAACAATCAAAGGGTACTAAATTGCGCATCTGCGATCAATAAAAGTAATGAAAAATGAAAAAGATGTAAATATTTCAATAATTACAAAGATATATCTGTTTCTGATCTGATTAATGACTAAAGTGTTTAAGTATTGGGGTTAACGTACGATTTTTTTTTTCATTATGAACAGATTCTACATTGATAAAAACAATAAAAGGTAGAAGAAGAAAATTATTCAATAACAACAAAGCCATACCTGACTTTAATCTCTGAATAGTGACTTAAGCGTTTAAGTTTTGGGTTTCATACGACAACTTTTAAAGGGAAAACACTTTCACAAGACTACATGGTAATAATTATTTCACGCCAAAGTGCACGAATACATGACATGGGGCACGCGCGGTCTATTTATTCTTCTAGAGACGTGGTTTTAACTCAAATAAAACTCTAATTGCGAAGCTTTACGCAAAAGAGGAAGAGACAATCTGCTCTTTTCTTATTTTATTTTATTTTTCATCATAACATGCAATATTTTGATTTCAGAGGCAAAGAGAAAAATTATTCTTCACAAGACCATAAAAATCAGCCATCATCTTCCCATCGACCAAGCGACGCTTACGACGACAGCCAAGATGTTTCTGAGACTGGCTTTTCCTCCGGCGTCGTTTCATCCCCGAATGCATCAGACGATGTTAAGTTGCATATGAAGGCAAAAGAGCAAGAAAGTACAATAGCTGACCTGTACGCCGTCCCCGTAAGAAAGAAAAAAGCCAGAGCATGTACAGCCTCAGATACAGCGGGCGACAGTGTGCAGAACCCCAGCGATCTGTACGCTGTGCCAGAGAGGAAGAAAAAGAAAAATGCACCACCCAGTGCAATCCAAGGTTCAGTGAAGCTGACTCTGATGATTACCAGTTGGCAACACATTTCGGAGATGACGTGTCAGATGACGACATGCAGATGGTAGAGAATGACCTATATGAAGATAGTGACGGCAGGCCAACTGACGTCACTGGAGAGGGAGAGCCCCCTTCAGAAGGCGTTGTTTTTAGAGAAAATAGCATATATGGCTCATAAAGGCAAAGGGACCATTCCCAGACCCTATTTTACTAACTGTGGATCGATCTATCTCCGAGGGGATTGTTGCTAAATCGCTATCAACTTAAGCGGCAAAGAAGTCTCCTATGCCTACTAAAGCTGCTAGGGGGTAATTAATGATCGTTTAGCAGCTTCAATAGATTGTTATTCATCATTTATACTTTGTGTGAACTAACTTATCACGTGGAAAATAAACAAAAAGTGTTGTTTAGGCGTCTATTGCTTTCTAGTAAATTTGGCGAATGTTCAAATAAAATTGGTTGAAAAGAAAGCAGAACGACAATACAGACACCTGCTCTATTATACCAGTGTTCAGGCATTTTCGTATTTGGCACCAGTAAAGAAATAAGAATTAATCACCGAATTTGTTACAACTGTCATAACCAAAAACGTTATAAAACGTTCTGTGTTTGCCGGGATGCTAGTGTAGTGGTCAACTTGTATCTACTATGAGAAAAGTTCAAATTACATTTTAACTTTCGGACTCTCGACCTACATGTAATAGAATATTAACTTTAATACAAACAATTAAGCTGATTAGTCACCCCGATTTTTTATCTGAAGATAAGAAACAAAGCAACCTGCGCCTGGGGTGTACGCTGCGTCACGCTTAAGAAGGCGCGCTGTTATCTCCTTTTCTTGGAATGCGGATTTCAGCAGTGAATAATAAAAAAGGCATATTAGACGGCTGTGATTTGTTAAACAGACATCTCTTTTAGAGGCGTTATTATATGTGCGAAAGAGAAAAAAATGAGAGAAAACTTCAAACAAAAAGAAGTATGTGACTCACCCAAGTGTGCATAACGCGTTATCGTATTTCGTTTTTACTTCCCGGTTCACAGCTAAATAGAAACTGATAACTTTGGATTGCCTATTTACGAAATAATCAAACAAGATGGCAGTCTCTCTCACTAGCTCAAATTGTGCAGAACTGAGAAATGTCGGTATTCTCACCATGCTGATTTGGGTCATCAAGATCAGTATAGTCAAAGGTGAGTTAAAGTGAATGGTCTGGTGCATGTAAATTGTAAGGTATGAAAAGCGTTCACCGCAGAATGGGGATATAATGATAGGCAAAATAAAGCAAAGACGACTAAACAAGACGGTCTCTCTCCGCAGATGTTCGAGTTACGGAGGTAGCTTACTGTGACCCTTTTCACATCAATGGGTACAGTTTTCTGTATCACACCAGTTTCACTACCCCTAACAGGTAACTACGCTACGGGAAGGGGGTAACTACGTTTCACAAGCCTCAGTGTACTGTTAATTAGTTTAAGTGGCTGTGCCGATCGAGCGCTGGGGCAGGTTTGTCAATCACCCAAACGGGTGTGATACAGAAAACTGTACCACTCGATATGAAAAGGGCCTGTGTGTAATGACAGGTTGGTATATAAGTATATAATGTGTGTGTTGGAGGGAGGACGGCAGTCGGAGTGTTCATCCTTCACAGAAGACTGCTGGTCACGATTTGCCTCTTAAGAAACTAGCAAGTCGCGACACAGGAGTAATTCAGTATACAATTATTGTTGACAGTGTGATATGACTGTCACAGCCTCCTTGTACATATCGTCATGTTGACATTTATGTCATGTCGATAGATTAAATATCAAAGTCGACAACGAAGTCATGTGCAAGCAAGAATATATATCGGTTGCATTATTACAACAAACAATATAAGGAATTTCGGTGTAAGTTTGGTTTTATCCCCAATTGAACAAAGTTAAGGTATCAGGCCCGTAGCCAGCAATTACAAAAGGGGGGTTCTTTTTCTGAAAAAGGTAACCTTTTCCCATGAAAACTTCATGTACCTAGATCAAATTTTACCCAAAGTGGACCTTTTCCCAGCAAAAGGGGCAGTTCTTTCGAACCCCACGAACCTCCCCCCCCCCCCCCTGGCTACGGACCTGGGTATTCTCGATAGTGTTGTACCTTGGCCTTTTTGTTTACTATAGAGCTTTTTATTCTGTCTGTTCAGGCACCTTTATATAAGCCAAGGTCACAAGAAGGAAGTATAAATAAATTTCAGTGTCATGCTATTTAATCAAAATAAATTTGTCATTGAAGGTCTTCTGCATATCACTGAATAAATGCATTAAATTATCTACTCCTTACCATGTAGTTATACCACCGTTATGACTTCTTCAGGTAAATTAGAAATGGCATTTAAATAAATGTATATGATGTTCAATGAAAACAGCCATATGCCAATTGTCTAAATGCCCAGGCATCACAATATTGGAGGGTATAGGGTTTTCTGTTTGTGGGCATCTGCAAAATGAAACTAAAGTACAACTTGAAAAGTGATTTTAAGTGCTGATAAAACAATTTTAATGTTAAAAGTGAAAGTGCTGATTTCATGTATGTGTGTATATTATTTCCCTTAGGTATATGCATCGAACCCGACATCGATGCTCTACCAAATGACGGCGAGTGCCCTCGGCCTTTGATGAAAATGAGACTGTGTGGAACGAGGACGCCAACCGTTTGCGCCAGTAAATATGTTTTTTCGACCTAAGAAGCATTTATTGATTTGCCCTTTTATGTATACAGGTCTCTCTTTAACGGGATTTATACTTAGTCCCTTTTACTAAACCGCGGAAGTGAAAATTCGCGATGCCCATAGTGGTGAAATTTATTCATTTATAAATGCTGCTGTATGAATTTAGATCACACTGGACCATAATGATATCCGATATTACAAAGCAAATGGAAAATACTTCGTTTTAATGGAATTAATGGTTTCTTGATATAATCGTGGTATTTTACATTTAATGATAAAAACATTTTCAGTGTCCAAAAACGTGACTCAAGTGTTCCATAAATACGGTACAAAGGGTGCATCAAAGATGACCGAACTCAAAACGGTAGAACAATGTGTTCATGGGTGTGCAGGCAACTCCTCCTGTTATGCTGTGGACTGGAATACTGCTAGTGATGAGTGCTGGTTTCACGAATATGTTACATTTTGCAAAAATCGCAATTGGGTAAAAGCCGTTGATCATTATAAAATGCAAAAATGTAGTTCAGGTAAGATGCATCATAGGGTGCGATCAATATTGGCCGGTTGCTTTAGTGTTTATTTTTTCATCAACCGCAGCATAAGTGTCCAAAATGTTATCGAGAGACCGTAAACGAGACATATACAAGGAATTACTTTCCTACCGTTAAACAAATAAAAAAGATATTTTCCAAATGTTAAATCAGGGCAGTACATGCATTAACTAGACTTAAATAAAACGACCATAATTGATTCATTAATTCTAAGGTTATTGTTGTTTAACAGGATATAAGTTGCATATGCGAAAAAAAAAAACCTTTGAATGGATGCCGACTTTTAAGTTTCGACACAATCTTTGCCGCAAATGTTTTTTTTAATTATATTGCAAAATTATACAAGATTTTGAAGCACAAGATATTCCACATGCAATGATTTATTTTGCACAGTATATTGACCTAACCAATTGCGTTGCTTTCGTAATTAAAGGATGGAGGTGCAGTAAAGAGTGTAGATATGGCTCCTGTCGGTATCCAAACCAGCGATGCATTTGTCATGTGGGTTATACAGGAGATACTTGCAGCAGCGGTAAGTCATGTTTGATAAGTATTTTTGTCACCAACAAATTATTTAGTTGTCTTTTTTCAGATATTCATAGAGCTGTTAGCACTAAGAAGAGTAATATATGTATATGTATTTGTACAAGTTATCAACATTCATTTTTATGGAACGCCATTCACGCAAAAAATGCAGACGTCAATTCAACAATCTATCGGCACTATTTAACAGCCAAAACCTACTTTAACTATCTAAACTTAATTCTACTAAATTAGTTTTTGGTCATTTTAATCATTCGTCAAAATCTAACAATCAAAAAACGATTCAATAGTCAGTTACTGCAACTCAACAATCAGTCACCGCAACTCAACAATCAGTTACTGCAAATCAACAATCTGTCGCGGACTTAACACCAGATGGCGCGCGCGCACCTTCAGCGATCTGAAACGTCCTTGACCTTTTCCGGAGCACAGGCTTCAAACAACTGCACATGCGCGAAAAGTGCGGTGTTTGAAATAAACAAGTTGCAGTGAAAGCCTGGCGGTGTTTACCGGCTGGTTGATTTTATTTCATTTGCTCTCTGGTGTCATTTTGCAAATTTATATTAGAAATGTTCTATTGATTTTATGTTGTAAAAAGTAAATCCGTCGGAATTCCTTAGAATAACATTTATTTTACCTTCATTTTAAGGGGATTCCCATTATTTATAGTGTTATATGTGGCCCCAATGGGGATTTTCCGCCCCTCCCCACTCTTGATTAATAAAATTCTTCATGTGCCAGATTGAAAATGATATTACAAAATACATTCAAAATCGTAGGAATAGAAGGTTAATTGCCGATAATGCTGCGAGGGCATTCTTGTGCGAGGGCGAATTTGGCCAATATAATTTTTTAAACTTCATCTCCCGGTTTTGGAGCGCATTGTACTGCACGTACTAATTCGTAGGAAGCTTTCACTCACTATCGTTCACTTACGCTCACTTACACAAGTAACCTTTCACTCTCACGATCGATCCCAGATGCGAATGACTAAAACTACACGTAAGTGTGTGCGCCAGAAACCAAGTCAACCACAAGGATAAATCAATGTAACGATGCTTTATACAACAACTGACCAGTTAAACGATTTATTCGTTGACGCTTGAAGCTACATATACTAAGTGAAGTCTCCAACTCTTAACTCGTCAGCTTCGTACTCCGTCGCTTCCAATCTCCTTCCTCGCTGCTTCCTTCTACATGTCTCCTGTATATCTCTCAAGGTATTGCTTATATCCTTCTTCCTTATCTACCTGTATGGTCCATGACGCAAACTTT